CATGGACAATTAAGATGCTCATTAAAATGAGTAGACAATTCATTGATACCAAAATAATAGAAATTCCCATCCTTTTTGTTGCAATTGTGGTATAAAAGAAATTCACTTAATAACAAATGCATTAGATTTAGTTTTTTGTATTAACAATCATATAACTAAAACAATTAACAGTCACATTATCGATACAACAATGGTTCTATTCAAGCATAAAAAAAGAAGTGTTCATATGAATATGAATATTGCTAGATATGGTTTTTATTTAAGGATTGTTTAAAGGAAAGGTGTGTGTTATGATATTTAGACACGTATTATCGACTGAAGCATCATATAAAGTGGGTAAGCGCTACTGACCTGTTCCGGAGTGAGACAGTGCTTCTTTTCCTGCAATTGTTCGTCTAATATTCCTACGTCGGGGGAGGTGGAAAAAGGCTGCCTCTTTGATGTTTCCTTCAGGTTCAACATTGATCTTGCTCCTATATAATATTACCCAGAATTTTCACATATATATTTCAAGCAAAAAAATACAATAATCATGGCTCACTAATCCTTAGACCACCATTATTAAACTGCTAGCGTTTAACCTATTCACATGCAACACGTTTCAAACACATGTTATGCTCCTTTTGGAGACATTTCATCAAACACATGTTATGCTCCTTTCGGAGACATTTTATCAAACACATGTTATACTATAAATTATATCAAACTAAAATAATTGAATACAAAAATCCAACCATTCACTTGGTTACTATTCGATCAAAATCCAACTATGGAATAAGAATTGAAAAACCAAAATTGCAAACAAATAGAGTTGGAAATTCAAAATTTGAAGCACTCACATAACCACTACTCCTCTTCGTCTAAATCATTTATAATAGAACATGAATTTTACCTCCAAAATTCATGTTTTATTATGTCATTTATTGAAATAAAATCAAAAATAAAATTTATTTTTTAAAAAAAAACGTAGTTAATATATATTTATATTATTTATTAGAACAAAACTAAAAAATTAAAAAAGGAATCAAACTGTAATGTTGGGGTAGTTTGATATTTTAATTTCGTCGTTTAAATAACTAAATTAAATTCTATTAGACAATATAATTGAATATTAATTACAATTTTTTAAGAGAAAATTGAATTTTTATTTTTAATTTTATTTCAATAAATGATACAATAGAACATGATTTTTGGTTGTAAAATTTAAAATATTTTATATTTGATTGGAGTATTTTTTGTCTAAATATAATATTTTAAACTTAAAGAGTATAAGTATTATATATCCACAAACTTTAGGGGGTCTAAGTGTAATTTATTAATTGATACATGTACAACAAGGATCTAAGTGTTATGTGCATGCAAACTTCAAGGGGTCTGTGTGTAATATTTTAAATGTTAAGGGGTCTGAGTGATTAAGTGACAAATCTCAAGAAGTCTGGGTGTAATTCTCCCTAAAGGTACCATAAGTTTTAGCTAATTAACAAGAACAAATAAGTTTTAGCTATTGTAGTAAAGATACCAATTATTGTTCCAAAGACTCTACTTGCTTTATTTATTTCAAATAGCTCAGGAACAAATATGTATGAAATAGAAAGATTTCAACCCCCAAGTAAAGAACAGTTACAAATAATGAAGAATGCAGTAGATTCAGATATGATGCAACTTAAAATAAACTAAATTTGATACCTGAATATTTAGTTTGATAACCTGCTACTGATTCTTCTCGAGCTTGTACATTATTTTTCATAAGATATCAATTTTAGCCCTAAAATATAAGGAACTGAAAAGGCCGAGACTCTAAACTCTTGAAGAAGATGCTGGGAGGGGTGGACTTGGATATCCTTCACATTTGGTATTGTGTGTACGAATTGGTTGCATTCAGATTTGTACCCACAACCTTATGGTTGTTTGGCCAAGCTGTTTACTATTGCACTATGCAATGGCCCATAGTTAATGTCAGTGATATGTTTGGATTAATTATCTTGAATTTTGTTAACTCAGCTGCATTCCAGATCCCATGATAAACCTGATCATCATTCAAGAATTTGACGAGAGCTTTACACATTTTATTTAATGGTAAAATTTCAGTAGAAGACAAGATTTTTTTTAGCTCCCTTCTTTTTTGCAAGCATAAGCAACTGACATGTAGCCGACCCCAAAAACGTTGGTACAAGGTTTTGTTGAGTTGAGTTGAGAATAAGCAATTGACATGTACTTCTCCGTGAACTAAGACTTAAACCTTTCGACTCCCTCTTTTGGGGTTGCAAGGGATTCCACTCAATCTAACATTTGGGCGTATGAAGGATTTACCTTTTGATGTATCTAGCAATGGGCTAAATATGTAGTGTAAGGTGATACCGTGTCATGATTGATACGTGGTATCACTGTCATGTGTATCAGTGTCTTACAATAAGATCCATATATGTGCACGAAGTAGTTATGAATTGTATCATACGTTTAAGCATCCGTTTTCGATATTTTTGGGAGCTCTTGATGTATAGAAGTTTAATATGTTGATATTGGTGAAGAGTCCACTGCTCAATATTTACTTTCTGTTGGTCAATTTTTGCACCCTTGTTGCTTTTGTTTCTCCATACTAGATCATGGGGAGAGGAAATGCTAAGAGTTTGATAGTTAAACTACCAATTGGAGAGGTCAGTAAGATAATGATTGTGTAGTTGGTTCATTTTTGCATGATGATTGCTCTCGAACCAACCCTCCCGGTTCGTTCCTTCGGAACCTGTGTGTCTTTACCAACTCGGTGTGCTTGGTGAGCGCTCATGAGTGTTTATACATGTACCTGTCTCGAAAACAGTTGGCTATGTATTCTTCACCCTTATTGTTTATGAACAAAATTCACCACCTCATTGACAGCATTGTGGATGATTGAGGGTTGAAGTGTATGTTCAATCTCAGTATGGTAAGTTGAGTATTGGGTGCTCATCCGTATAATTTCAAGGATACCGAGCACTTAGCAGTCTGAGCTGAATCGGTAAGCTGAAGCATTAGGGGTTTTTGGATGCATTCAAGGAGTCGATGATTATACTGCCCAGTTTAGTGTGCTTTTTTTTCTTTGAATTGTGAATAACCGGTTCCAATTTTTGACTCCTTTCGCAAGATTAGATACCACTAACGTGTTCTAATACATTTCAGGTTCAATGAATAATGGTGATAACCAGTTCCAATTTTGACGGGCTGTCGCCTTTTATATATTCTAAGAACTTGGGCTTGTTTGATTATCGTGTTGTAAATGAATGGATTGTATTAAGTAATATATGCTAATTCATCCACAAAGAGAGAGAGAGAGAGAGAGCGAGAGAAGGGGGGAACCCGATTGAAAGTTGCCATTCGTGAAAGACAACACATATTGGTCCTCAAGTCATGGTTAGAACTCTAATTTTTTTTGAATTTCTAGTTAGTTGGGCTGATCTAATCGATAAAACTATGACCCAAAAAAAAGAAGAAAAGAAAAAATATTCATAGTTCAAGCACGACAAAATGTATTTACTTGAAAGGTTAAATTATTATATATTGTAACAATTAAGCCAGTTTTCGTGTAGTATTAACAAGATATGGACAATAAATAATTTGTATTGCTTTATTTCGATTCAATCATAGGTAAGGGCGGTATTCTTTCAAATTCTCAAAAGTTGTCTATTGTTAATTAGTTTTTAGCTAAATTTCTCGCGTCTTTTTCTTAATGTACACGGTCACCGAGTCCGTGATAAAATTAATTTTTTTTTTGGTGAAGCTTAGTTTAGATCATCCTCCATTTTACTTAGAGAAATTGACTTTGAGTAATAATAAAAATTATTTTTGATTTAGGTCATTTTTCAGATCTTGTAATTCCTCTCACTGGTGTCGTCTGAAATAGTTTGCTATTTCCTTACTAATTGTTTTTGAGCAATCCTTAATAATTGTTGGGCATTAACTAATCCATGGAAGAATTGACTTCTGTGTGGGTGACTATTTAATTTTGCGGGTATCACTTGTTCATTTGTTTGTAGACAGGTACACTACATGACATCGTGTGTGTCAAAAATATGACACAACAGTTAACAAAATATTAAATTAGAGAGTTTAAATCTTCTTTAAACTATTTGTTTTATAAACGAGTGGACTTAGTATAATAAGATTAATAAACAAATCGGATATGGATAAATTCAATAAAAAAAATATACGATATGACTCATTTATATATAATAATTATATATGATTCATACACGACACAAATATAACATAACATGATTTGTTAGATATGATAAACAATTTGAGTATGAATGAAATATTTTTTTAGATGATCCTATTAAGACCGACATGATTGACAGGCCTACTTGATACTACAACTACTGAAATGATGTAACCGTTATGGAGTTGTCTATGGTACCGAAAAAAAAATTCATTACCATATCGATATTTATCACTTTTATGAGTATTTTTATCACTATTGTAAGTGTTATTACTACTATTGTGGTACAGAAAAAAAATGATAAAAATAGTTATTACAATTGTAATTAAAAAACACCCACAAAAGTGGTAAAAACGCCCACAAAAATGATAAAAACACTCAACAAATTGTATTTTTTTTGTACAGAAAAAAATGATAAAAATATTTTTCATAATAGTGGTAAAAATATTCACAATAGTGATAAAAATATTCACAAAAGAAATAAAAATTGTTATTATAAAATTAAAAATACCAATAAAAATTATAAAACACTCACAAAACTAATAAATTTTTGACTTACTGGAGCAATATTTTTTTATTTGCTAACGGCTGAGTTGTCAGCTCCTTATTGGATGCCCCTAACAGTATGTACGTGTTCTAATCCAGATAAAATCCAATCCCAACAGAAAAAATCTTAAATAGACTCCAGATCAGACTCAACCACCTGACTTATAAATTCTTAATCTCCACACGACTCTGACTTATACAGTAGGACGTTCATTTCACGCCTTCCCATCAAAACCCCAATACCAAAGCTCCCAATCTCACTGAAATGGGGTTCATAACAGTTGTGTTTCATCTTCTGCTTCACACTGTTGGGTTGTGCAGTGGAGGTTCCACAAGTCAATATGTGAGGAAAGCTGAACCCGCCATTGACATCCCACTTGAGCTCTTCCCTCAACCTTCTGGCTATAATGCCCCCGAGCAGGTATCACTTCATGCATGCATGAAACCTTTTTACTAAAAACCACTCTTGCTTTTTTTCTCGGGTTTAGTGTCTTTTTGAGTGACCTATTTTTTCTTATTTTACTTCAAGACTTTCAATAAGTCGTTTTGGATTTGTGTTGTGTCTAATCTATAGTGTTACAATATAATCTACTCACATCTGTTTTATTTATAATCATATATAATTATGTTCATATAAGTGATTTCGCATCGTGCTTAACAAGGTTTATATTAGTGTATTTATGTGTAATGACTCTAGAAAGTCTCTGTGTTTATCTTTTATGCATGCTAAAGCACTCTTGCCATTATTTACCGGCCATAGTTTTGAAAATGCCGTTATGTAACGGTATCAGTATTGGTAACAGTAACACTCCGGTTTAATGGTGATATTATTTTTCACACCCCGTTACATTGGTAAGATTAACGGAACTAAAATGAAATTATTTTTTGGAAAACTCAAAAATGCTCACCTCTTTCTTTTTTATTTTCAAGAAACATTTAAACCTTTTATTGTAAAAATTTCGGCTTCTGTACGCCGAATTTTGGAGTTGCAAAAAGTTGAAATGTCAATTCAATAATGTTATTTAGACCTAATTTACTAATAGTGTTTTCTATTTTTTCAACTTTGCTTCTTATATAGAAACCCTACTATTAAACCATTGAACGCCGTACCGCATGCTACATTCCACATCCGAAACTAGAATATCATAGCACGGTACTGTCTAAGTCGTGTTAAAATTAATTAAATTCATATTTAATTTGTATATAATTATATATAATGAAATTTGTATGTATGTATAAGTTTCACTAGTTCGAGTTGTGTTAACCTTGACTCGACCCATTTAATTGACCTTTTTAATGTATCTAATTTAATGTTGTTTGTTATTTTGATGGTTTTGTATTGTCATTGTAATTGTAATACAGAGACAAGTCTCTTTTGTGAACATGCAGGTTCACATAACGCAAGGAGATCTTGTAGGTCGGGGTGTGATCATATCATGGGTGACGCCAGTAGAGAGACACCCCAATGTAGTGACCTATTGGGAAGATGGCAAACAAGATGAAAAGCACAAGACTCATTCTATAACCACTTCTTACAGATACTACAATTATTCCTCTGGCTATATTCACCATGCCACCATAAAAAAATTAAATGTAAGTGTATACAATTCCATTTATTACATTCTTTACAGATCTTACGTGGGCGTAAATATTCAATGTAACGGTGCCACGTGGTGTAGCCAACCGATTATGAATAACCAAGTAGGACTAGTGGATCCTACCAAATTGTATAACGTGGTGTAGCTGACCAATTATAAATGACTATGTTGAACTAGTGAATTTTACCAAATTGTATAACCACCAATAATTTCTACATTCAAAACTATCATGTCGGATTGTAGGGTTCACTTGTCCTATTTGTTTGATTATTATTAGTCGATTACACCACGTGGTGTTGCGGAATATATTGCCTTTTTTAGGCTTTTGGAATATTATAGTTCAACTTAGTTTTTTGTGTGATGAATGCCTTCCAACCTTCCATACTTCTTAGATTCGTTTTCCAAACTATTGTTCTTGGCGAACAAAGGGTGGCTATGCAAGTTGGTAACCTTTAGCAGGCCTAGCCCCTATCCAGTCTTGCATATGCCATAATGCTAAAATCCAATTGGATGTCATATAGTCTCAGACTCATACTGTACAATATTATTCTCTTTAAATCAAATTTGTACAACTTCAATATACTCTACACTAGCTTTGTTTGCGGGCACAATGAGCATAATAACTCGATTTCGTTTGTTTATGCAGTACGACACATTGTACTTTTATGAACTTGGAAAACAGAACGTAACCCGTCGATTCTCCTTCACAACTCCTCCCAAAGTAGGACCTGACGTTCCCTATACATTTGGCATTATGGGTCAGCGCCAATAATTCCCTGCATTTCCAGTGATTTTCACACCCTTTTGTTTATTCTTTCCTTCTGATTTTGTATGTTTTATATTGATGATGCAGGTGACTTGGGGCAAACATATGCCTCAAAACAGACTCTGGACCATTATGTATCAAACCCAAAGGGTCAAGCTGTGTTGATGGTTGGTGATCTTTCATATGCAGATCATTACCCTTTTCATGATAACAGGAGGTGGGATTCATGGGGCCGATTTATCGAGAAGAGTGCTGCATATCAGCCATGGATCTGGACTGCTGGCAACCATGAGCTTGACTTTGCCCCTGAGATTGTAAGATTTCAAACCTAAATTCATATTTTTTTTTGACATAATAGGACCATTGGTGTCCGTGTGACAATAGGATTGAATGTTTAACCAATTTGGCAGGCAGGGGTTCTATTGTTTCCTTAATGACTCATGAATGTCTGATATGACCCATGTTGCGAATACAATAATGTTATATTGACTTAATTTTCCGATCAGATTTGCTGACCATGCTCCCGTTGAGCTGTTTGACAATAATGAGTTCCAGATACATAGCTCCAACAAGAATTTTAAATAATTTGTGTATTTGTTTAATTAAATTCTAATGCTAAACATAAGAGCTATTGATGTTGGTCATATAAGTTGATTCTAATTCATGACAGGAGTAAAATAAGTAAATCGTGCTCTGTTTTCTCTATAGTTGAATTTAGTGATGTTTTAGCAATTACTTCGATGGTGTGACAGTGAGTCTCGTTTTCGAGACTCACTTTCCCTCCTCTCCACCTATTTCTAATTTCCCCTCAGAATCTCGTTTTCATGTTTTTTTCTCTGTTGACAACTCGGTTTTCAACCTATCTGGCTAGTTTTTGTGTAGCAACATTTAGTCTTGACAAGAATGATGGTCCTTACAGTTTAATAAGTTGGTCATAACATAGTTTCACGTTATTTTTCAGGAAGAATATACTCCTTTCAAGCCATATATGCATAGGTACCATGTACCCTACAGGGCATCCCAGAGTACATCCCCTCTTTGGTATTCTATTAAGCGTGCATCGGCATATATCATTGTGTTATCTTCTTACTCTGCCTATGGTAAGAACAAATACACTATAATTTCCATTGCAAACAAAGGGAGAGCTCTGAGAATTGCAATGAGATCTGATGTTACTACTGTTTTTTTTCTTAAAGGTAAATATACTCCACAATACAAATGGCTTAAGCAAGAGCTCCCCAGGTTAACAGGGCCGAGACACCATGGCTAATTGTTCTCGTTCACTCTCCGTGGTATAATAGTAACAACAACTACCATTTTATGGAAGGAGAAAGCATGAGGGTAATGTATGAGCCATGGTTGGTTCAGAACAAAGTTGATCTGGTATTAGCAGGCCATGTTCATTCCTACGAGCGTTCCGTAAGCTTCCATCCCAATACATATTCTTGCCTTCCATTGTTTTGTGCTAAGTAGTTGGTTAGAGAAGTCAGAAAATTGTATTCCAAACATTGTGCTTTGAATGTAAATTAACCACAAAACTTCAGATAAACTGCTTTTGTAGCTTGAACTCATGACACCCAGATCACAATATAACAATCTTACAGTGTAGTTGTTACTGTTATATGAATCACTTTTGTTCTACTGTATAGGAACGAATATCGAATGTGCAGTACAACATAACAGATGGACTAAGCACTCCTATTAAGGATGCTTCTGCTCCAGTTTACATAACAATTGGCGACGGGGGAAATATAGAAGGCATGGCTGATAGGTGAGACTCCTTCATCCTCTCAATTACACAATCCCCATCTGCCATTACGGTTATAGTTAGAATTTTTTGTTTTGTGTAGTTTTATAGACCCACAACCAAGTTACTCGGCCTACCGCGAAGCAAGCTTCGGGCATGCCACTCTGGAGATTAAGAACAGAACTCATGCCTATTATACTTGGCACCGTAACCAGGACAGTGATGTTGTTGCTGCAGATTCAATCTGGTTCTATAACAGATACTGGTATCCAAATGAAGAGAGCAGCTAGAATTTTTTGTTTGTTTAGTGGAGCTGTTGCCCTGAAACTAAACCTCTTTTTTTGGGACACCACTTTAATGATTTCTTGCTTTTTAGGTACAACTTGTTTTTGGTAACAACCCCTAGTGCTCTTGTTTAAAATCTAATTTTCATTGGTTGAACATGATTGTTTGTATTTTAAGGTAACTCCACGGGGAATTACCTCCCTCAAGATAGCCGTAGTCCCTTCTGGTAAATAATTCCTTGTTGAGAAGTGTCACACACATCACGTGTAACGGTCAATTAGAACTTGCATGGGTGGTAGGGAGTCAAATCCACGCTCAAAGTCAGCGGCGAGGCCAAAATTCTTTCTAGGGTGGACACTACTCAAAAATTTCGAAAAAAATTCCCATGATCAATAAAAATAAAATAATGTATTTAAATTTACAGTATTGTATTTGATATTTAAAGATTCATAAAATACAAAAATTATTGAACATCGATAATATAACGTATACGAAAAAAAATGGATTAATTACAACCCTTCACAACAAATGATACTTAACTGCATAAAAAATATTATAGTCTTTCTCTATAAACCAATCAAGCTATTAGCAATTGATCACTAATTACGTATTTAACCTAATTTCATAATATCTATAACTTTAAAAA